AAATTTTCTTTGATGTTTTCAGAACTTTGGTTTTCAGCGACAGTAGCTAGCTTAACTGCCTTCTCCTAGGGTCACAGCTACTTTGAGGCAGTAGAAGGGAGCAGAGGAGAAAGGGGAGCATATTTTGATAATGCTGTCCTCTCTCACTGCATTTAAGAGCAGCTGCTGTCTTAGATTTTGCCCTTAACTTGTGTCTTTCTGAATTCTGCTGCAATTCAAAGTACCTCTCATAGGGAAGCCTTTGAAGTTTTACCCTGTACCCCTACTTCTAGCAAAAAGGTCAAGGAAAATTAAGCCAATCAATTTGGAAATGCTTCCTTTCTAATTAATTGCAGCTGTGCTACATCCAGATGTCTGACTCTAGGAGGAACCAGGTAAGCTATCAGCACCACTCAGGCCTATACTGACAAAGCTCCCTGACCAGGAATGCCTTGCGCATACTCTGAGAAAGGCTCCCTACAAGGTTCCGGGATAAATAGTTTTATACTTTCTGAAAATGGAATCTGGGGGTTATGAAGAAGGGCAAAATTTTTTCAAGGTCCTGAACCTAACACTGCCCCTGGAGAGCCCCTGGATAGTTGCTCTTTTCCCCTACTCTGCCTCCCCCAAGGAAATGGGGTTAATACCTCCTCAGATGGCTACAGGGAGGATTAAGGGTCATTATTCTTGGTATCCAGCTCTGCTACAGCTCTAGCAGTTGTGACCTTGTTCATCCTAAAATAAGACATTTAAAATAAAAAAGCAAACAGTGATCCCTGAATCTGACTCTTTTTCTGTAAAGAGCAAGAGTTTCCTTTGCAAAGGGCCTCTGACACTGCCTCCTATATTCCAACCTGTTGGCTGCAACCTCCCCTTATTCGGGCCTCAAGTTTTTAAGGTATTAGTCACTAATGCCACAAAGCCCTTTGAGCAGCTATTACTAACAGCACAAAGAATGGGCCTCAGAACTCTCAGGGTTTCGGTCAGACCTGAATTCACTCTCAGAAAGCCAACAAAGTGGTACCCCTTTATCCCCAAACCCTGGCTCTCGAGGACAATCAGTGACGTCTAGTGAAAAGCATATATTATGTCATTTAGTCCTCATAAATCCCTTGTAAAGAGGTCATAAGCCTCATTTTACAGTTAAGGAAACTGCAGCTCAGACAGGACATGTGATTTACCCTGGGTCACATAGCTAAGAAGAGGCAGACATGGGTTATGGGATCAGAAAGACTTGGATTCAACTATCAGCACCGTCACTACTAGCCGTATAATCTCCAACACATTTCTTAACTTTCTGGAGCCTCAGTTTCCTCATTTGTAAAATGGGGATAAATAAGGCAGTACCTACTTCATAGGGAATTTTTGAGGATTAAATGAAATACTGTAGGAAAAGTGGCTAGCAAGTACCTGGCACACAGTAAGTATTCAATACATGTTAGTTTTTTACAGATCAAAAGTGATTTTTTTACAGATCAAAAGTGATTTTTTTACAGATCAAAACAGAGAGTTTTACGTTATTTTCTTAGAATCACCAAACCAAACCTACTGCTGTTAAGCCGATTCTGACTTATAGCGACCCCATAAGGTTCTCAAGGGTATAAATGTCTATGGAAGCAGATTGCCACATCTTTTTCCTGTGGAGCCACTAGTGGTTTCAAATTCTGACCTTTCGGTTAAAAGTCGATTGCTTTAACCACTGTGCCACCAGGGCTCCTCACAGAATCAGAGTTTAAAAAACTAAAAGATCACTTAGTCCAATTACCTACATAAGTATGGATCCCTCTACCATATCACTGATAAGAAGTAGCAAAGCCTCTGCTTAAATACCCCTAATGATGGGTAACTCATTCCCTCACAAGGCAACCTATTTCATTTTTAGAAAGCCAAATTCACTATCAAGCCAAAATCTACCCTCTTGGAATATCCTTCCTTTGATCCTAGTCTGCCTTCTAGAATCACACAGCGAAAGTCCAGTTCCCTTTCCAATAGTTATTCAAGTATTCGAAGGCAGGCATTGTCTTCCCCCCAGTTCTTAGCTTTGGTCCTTTCAACTCCTCTTCACTGTCACAGTCCCAGAGGCAGCTCAATATCACAGAGCAGACAGACTTGGATTTGAATTCCAATCCTTCCACTTACTAGCTGTGTGACCTTAAGCAATTTATTTAACCTCTCTGAACCTATTTCTTCATCTATATTACAAGAATGATTCTCACCTCAAAGGACAATCATGAGATTAAATTTAGATAAAGTAACAACACTACTAGCACAGAGCCCAACATATAGCAGATCCTCATTAAACATCAGTCACTTTTTAGGATGTATCTCCATTGGTAAATATCACTCAGAGTATACTAGCCAGAACTGAATGTAACATCAAGTGACTGGTTTCCGATGGCAACTGCCAGGGCTTGAGTTTTTAAGAGGTGATAGCTAATAAGAAAGCACAGCCTAGAAGTCTTCTTAAAACCAAACAATAGCTTAACTAGTAAAAAATGTCTGCGTTGAGCATTATGCCCTTTTTAAGAACTATCTATCTGGGATCAAATTGACAATGGCAACTTGAAAGATTACACTGGAACCTTCGGGGGCAATGAGTTTATGTTAATGGAGGAGGAACAATTCAGAAAAGGAAGGTGAGACATAGGGAATTGGGAGGAAAGGAAGAGTGTGCTGTCCTAGTATGAGGAGAGCAACTAGAGTCATATAACAATGTATGTATAAATTTTTGTACAGGAAAAATTTTTTTAAAAACTTAGTTTGAAAAAAGAAAAAAAAGGAAGGTGGGAATGGTGGCACAACTTGAAGAACGTAATCAATGTCACTGAATTGTACATGTAAAACTGTTGAATTGGTGTATGTTTTGCTGTGTATATTCTCAATAAATAAATAAATAAAGCACAGCCTAGGGGTTCTGTGGGTCCAGCAATCTGCAATGGTACCCAAAGATGCAGTGGATGATCTGGGAAGGTGAGGATGAAAGAAAAAAGAAAACAAGACAGACCATTAAACCATGACCCAAGAGAAAAGGCAAGTATCACCATATTACATGTTGTCTATGACTCCTGCTCTGAGGCCCAGTGACTGCACATGTGGGCCACTGCCATCGAGTAGATTCTGACTCATAGGTACCCTATAGGACAGAGTAGAACTGCCCCATAGGGTTTCCAAGGAGCAGCTGGTGCCTAATTTAAAAGGAAAGGGAGAAAAAAAAAAAAAATTAAAGAGTAAGTCACAGTTCTGGCTCTTCCTCAGTAGTGGGCCCCTCAAGATCCACAGACGTTCAAGATCTTCAGTTGTATCCTTTCAGATCCTAAAGCCCAGATGTGTGAAAATACCCTACAAGAGACATTCAGTGAGTAATACCAAGTGATGTGACAGCTCTAAAACATCAAACAAAAATAAATACATAAATAAATAAAACATCAAACGGGAACATTAACACCATTACCATATTCTCTTTTTCCTTAAGTGACCCCAAGGGAAGGAGTCCCAGGCAGAAAAATGGGTTGTTGCCCAGTTCTTCTGCAGAATTGACCCAAAAGCATAGCTTTTACAAATTAGAGGTGACTTGAATGTAAGTGTTCCCAAACAGGTCAAAAGGACAGCAGGACCCCAGAATTCAAGCAACACAACCACAGACTGTGGTGGAAAAGGTTGTTTACCACCTGCCAAAGAAATACAACAAAGTACACTAAAGAAATCCATTGATAGCCTCAGACTCAGCTCAAAGGAGCCCCACTCCTTACTCCCCAGTCTGTTATAGAGGATACGGTCACTACACTCAACAGCAAAGATTCAATTCAATCCCTCTAAAAACATAAGAATTACAACGAAGAATAAGCCAGAACTCAAACCAGAAATAGCCCTAAATAGTTCCTTCATCTTAGTGAGCAGAGACTGGCCACTCAAGGAGGACCCTAGGGTACAGAAAAGCCTAGTGCAGGCCAGGTGGGGATTTCATAATGCCTTTGAGTCAGGAGGTGTCCTCAGAATAGTTTTCTTCTCAACAATGTTTCAGGCTTTGCTAAAACAGACGCTTAACTGCCATTTTATTCTGATCATCCACCCCATTCTTGGGGAAAATACAGCCACCCTACCATGCTTCTAAACTCACAAACGTGAGGAAAACTTCAAAGTTGCCCTACCACTACCCCAGGAAATTAAAGAAAGTCACAGAAGGAAAGAACCTCGGGGAAACAATCAAATTAGACCGTTAGACAGTAATCATAAGCCTGAAAACTCTTTTCTAGAGACCCTGGTGGTACACCTGCAGAGGAGAGCCAGAGGGCACCAAGCAAATTCAACCCAGCTGGCAAGAGGGTGTCCCACCGCAACTTTCAGTAACAAGAATTGGATCTTGCTGGCTCGCAGTCTCCCTTCTATTTCCCCACTTCCCATTTACCCTTTGAAGTGGGTACTGAATAGCCCATTCCCAAGCACAGGCCCTATGTACAGGCACTACCGACGTCTGGTGGAAACACCTTAGTTGAGTTCAGTTTGACGCCAGGATGGGCCACTGAAGGCATCTGCGGCTGCCAGAAGCCTGGACACACACACACACACAGACACAGACACAGACACACACACACACACACACAGAGAAAGGAAACAGAGCGCAGGTCAGGTCAACGTTGCCCTCCCGCACTTCCACCTGCCCTCTTCTTCCTGAGACCGGCGCCAGATCAGATGTCAAACAAAAACTCGACAAAAAAGTCCCGTAATGGGACGACTTCCACCTCTCCCTTGGCAGAGTCCTCTGGACTCCCACAACCGTCCATGCACATCCCAGCTAGCCCTCGGCCCCTACCCCATCCCTGGCCCACTCTGCTCCCTGCCCCAGAGAGGCCTGCCCCCTCCCGGGACAGCCCGGAGCCCCAAGGAGGGCGGGTGGGCGACCTCAGGCCCCCAGGCCGTTAAGGCTGGGGCCCGCCCGGAGCGGGCGGCCCGTGTGCCAGGACTGCGGGACCCGGTCTCTGCCTCGGCGCCCGCGGAGGGCAGGGGGCAGCGGCAACTCGTACCTGTCAGGCCTCTTCCCTAGACCGATAGCGTCGCAACTTCAGGAGCCCATGTCCGTCCGGGGGCCCGGCCCCTCTCCCGGGAGTCGGGGCGCGGATCCCGGGGAGGGGGCTGGGGGGCCCGGACAGCTCTAGCCCCTTCCCATGCTCTCCGCCCGGCGCCTGGCCGGGGCCGGACAGCGCCTCTGCCCGCCCCTGCGCACCGCCTCACACCCGCGCTCACACACACTCACACTTCCTCGCGCGCTCTCACACACGCACTCCCCTCCCTCCACCTCCTCTGTTTATCTCCTCCAGCTGTCTGGGGACCCAGGCGAAGCCGGCACTGCGCCTGCGCTACGCAGTCTTCGCCCCCGCTCCGCGCCTCACAGCCAGCGGCTACGCTACGGAGGTAGCGCCCAGCCTTTTCCAGAATGGCGACCCCCCCCTCCCTGGGTCCGGTTAACGTCTGCCTCTCGGCGGCGCCCACTAACCTGCTAGTGGGAGAGTCCCACGCCGCCTCAGCCAATCTGCTTCGCCGCTTGCCGGCCCAGGGGCCAGTGGGCGGGCGAGAAAGCCGGGCGGAGCCCCGGGGCATGCCGGGAGTCGTAGTTTTCCTTCGTCTAGGAGCTACTGCAGAGTGGGCTCACCCCGCCTAGTTGCCATTAGTTACCCCGACGCACCTTTGCACCCCATATTTCTGTAAAGTGTTCCTTCACCATCAATTCTGAGACTCCCCTACTTGTCATTGCCACTCCCCCGGCCCCCACTCAGCCCTCTGGGAGCCTCCTCAAGACTTCCTCAGAGCCCTGAATTGCGGGGCGCTTCAGACTGCACCCACGGCCCCCTCCCTCACCTTCCCCGACACCACCCACCCACCCTCTGCCCCACAGTACCGACCCTCAGCCTATTCTTTCCTGCTTTAAGGTCTGCTAAAGTGGCACGTTCCTCACTCTTGCCTCCCGAGCCTGGAGGAAAAGGATAAATGAGAACCAAAGTCCTACACTGGGTAACCTGGAGGGGAACCAATAGGCCAGGCAAGTCCTCGGAACTCTCAGGCTGGTGGGAGAGACAAGGTCCGTCCGTCCGAGGCTGGTGGAGCCACTGCTGTTCCCATTGTCTGAGGAAGACAGGTAGTTCCAGCCTTGTGGAGTCTCGAGTCTGATGGAGAAAATACCCTCTTCTTTAAGGAAGTTCCCAAAGTGATGAGGGAGGCACTATGCCTAACTGCTAAAGGCAGGGACCAGGCCCCAACCATGAGGAGTCCCAAGTCAGAAAAGGAAGACATCATCAATCACCCTCTGAGAAGGAAAACTTGCCACTTACCCGAAGGATGCCATTTGTCAGATAATAATTTGCTTTTATTGAGCATTTACTAGATGTCAGGCACTGTGTTGGGCATAGTTCCTTAAAACCAAACCAAACCTGTTGCCACAGGCCAGAGTAAAACTGCCCCATAGGGTTTCCAGGGAGTGGTTGGTGGATTTGAACTGCCAGCCTTTTCGGTTAGCAGCCAAGCTCTTAACCACTGCACCACCAGGTAGATATTCCTTGTTGCTGTTGTTAGTCGCTCTCAAATTGGTATTCCTTAGGTATTCCTTAGATAGGTATTAATACTAACTACATTTTGCAGAAGGGGAAGCTAAAGCATAAAGGGATTAAAAGCAATTTGCCCAGGGTCACATAGCTGATAAGGAACCAAGCTGGAATTCACACCTAGCTCTGTCTGACTCCAGAGTCTAAGTGTTTGAACACTCCCTGCCCCTTATGTGAGAACGAGGTAGCCCACCCTCAAGAAGGACTGAATATACAAATTTTACATTTATAGTGTTTGTCTCATGTATATCTCTCCATGAACTACTTGTTTTTTTCCTGTTTTTGCCCATATCACGAGTATAAGTTAGTCTGTGAGCTCCCAAGGGGTGATTTCTCCACTTATGGAGGAGTAAGAAGTTAACCTTGTGAATTCAGCTTTGTGACATCCCTTTCTACTAAAAATGTTGTGTGTCATCCCTCCTGACCTCTCCCCCACAGCTGTTCCACCGAATATAGAAAAGCATAGACTTTGGGACCAGGAGAAAGCTTTGAGATCAGCTATCCATAGCTCCCCATTTTAGGCTGCAACCCTGAATTAAAGAACAGGTAATATTTATTGAACACTTACTGTGGGAGATAAGTGCTTACCACTGAATTAAGCAATGCTCTCACAATCACACAGCTAGGAAGTGGTTACAGTTGGGATTAAAATTCAGATTATTTGAATCCAGAGCCCATATTTTAAACCCTTGTTCTATGCTGTCAATGTCACAGAGGATCTCAGAAAAACCAACAGAGAAGAATAGATGGTATTTCTGTGACTCCTAGCACAGTCTCCAGCACATAGCAGACACTCAGTAACTATTTGATGTCAGAGTGAACCTTTGTTGATAGGGAGTGGATGACAGGAAGTAGCGGCATCTACTATTTATTGATTATTTTCTACTCTCTGTGTATGTATATACTTAACTCATTTGATTCTCACAACCACCTTATGAGTTAGGTATTATTCTCATTTTCCATATGAAGAAACAGAGACTCAAAGGAAAGCTAAGTTCAGAATCAGACACTTCTCCCATTCATATATATTTTCAGATCAGTTTAAGAGAGAATTTCCCAACCAATGGATCTGGGATACTTTGGAAGGTTGTGAGCTCCCTATCTATGGTGGTATTCAAGTACAGACTATAATCATGTATTTAGGATACTGTAGAATCAATTACTGTGTTGATTAATATCATTAAGCGACCAACTGTAATGTTCTCTGATCTGGTTTTTGTAAGCAGGCAAAGATTATTCAAATAAGGCTTGTGGCAATGAATGCAGCTCCTTGGTAAAATGAAGGGACTAACTGAAATCAGTGGGTCTCTCAACCTTTTCTCATGGTGACCTGACCTGGATTGTACTCCCAAAAGGCTTTTCAACCAGAAGTCCTGGAGGAAGTGAGGAGGTAGTACCCTATTTTTTTAAAAACAATGAAACTTTTATATGATAATAATTTCCACAGTATGGAAATAGACGTTTAACTTTTAGGGAGACCTAGGCCTATATCAAGTTGGATTTTTCCCCCACTCATTGTATCTTTAAAAATTTTTTAATGTTTAATTACAAACTATCTCAAACATTCAAAAAATAACCTCATAATATAACTACCAAAATAAAAGCAATGTTTAATATTTTACTACATTTGCTTCTAATCTCTTTTTTTTAAGAAATAAAATGTTACAAATACAGCTAACACTCCATCTGCTACTGTCTTAGGGTTCTCTAGAGAAACTTAACTACTAATTATCTATCTATCTATGGAGAGAATTGATTTACTTCAAGGAATCGGCTCACACGTTTGTGAGAGGCTAGCAAGTCCAAAATCCATAGGTCAGGAGACAGGAAGAGTAAAGAGTTAGTGAATCCTGGCAAAATGTCTATTTATAATCTGGAGACAGAACACACTGTAGGGAAACTCCCTATTTGCTCTTAAGGCATTCAGCTGATTGGTTGAGGCCCACCCACATTATGGAAGGTAATCTGCTTTACTTAAGGCCTTGATTTAATCACATGTAACTAGTTAATAAGAACAACTAGACTGGTGTTTGACAATTGAGCACCATTGCCTAGCCAAGTTGACACATAAATTAACCATCACACTCATCCCTTCTTTCTTGCTTTTTCTTAGAGGTAACCATTCTCTCAAAATTGCTGTGTGTCTTCCCCATTTAAGTTTGTGTACTTTTACTACATATATCAGTATCTATAAACATATGATATTGTTTATAGGCAATTCAGGGAGGAAGAACAGCATAAGCAAAAGTCTGATACCAGGACAGAGTTTGGCAGACAGGATCTAATGAGGAGATTGTCCTGGCTAAAGCCAAAGTTCTGCAGGGGATTGGTTTGGATAGCTGAGGTGAGGCCTAATGGTGGAGAATTGGAAAGCCCATATCAAGAGTTTAGATTATATTCCCACAGACACTAGAGAGTCTTTGAAAATCCTTGATCACGGGAAATAGAGATTCAGTCATCAGAGATTCACTAAACACCACAATGCATTACATACTAAACTGGGTAGCCATCAGGCTTACAAAGGCCTGATGCTTACAGATGCTGTATACTCACAGAATAGCAAGAAAGATAAATATATCTGTGTTCAAAGCAATATAATCAGTAAGCTTTGTAGAGGTTTATATAGAGTTTAAGGAGCCCTGGTGGTGCAGTGGTTAAGTGCTCAGCTGCTAACCAAAAGGTTAGTGGTTTGAACCCACCAGCTGCTCCGCGGGAGCAAGATGTGGCAGTCTGCTTCCATAAAGATTACAGCCTTGGAAACCCAATGGGGTAGTACTACTCTGTCCTATAGGGGCCCTATGAGTCGAAATTGACTCGGTGGCAATGGGTATGTAGAGTTTGCCCAAAGAAAGAAGGAACGAACTGAGTTTTGGCAGGGAGGTTGCCAAGGAGGGCTTCAGAAGCAAGGCCGGAGTTTGACAGGCAGAAAAGTTTAGGGATGACATGAAATCATAGACTCTGAGAGCTAAAATTCAAGAAGTGGCTACTCCTAGGCAAGGAGGAGTGAGGGAGGGGAGTAAGAGTGGAAGATTTTCTTTTCACTGTATACATTTTAGTCAGGGGCGGAACAACCAGAAAGCAAGGTACATACTGGCTTACAGTAAGCAAGGTATGATGTGGTGAAATTGTACACCACAGATTAGTAAGTAAGCCCGTACATACCTTGCTTATTGGGTAATCTGTCCTGGCTTTTAGTACTTCTGAATTTTGTGCTGTCATGGTTTGAATTATGTCCCCCCAAAAATGTATCAATTTGGCTGGGCCATGATTCCCAGAATTGTGTGGTTGGCCTCCATTTTGTGATTGTAATTTTATGTTAAAGAGGATTAGGGTGGGATTTTAACACCACCCTTATCCAGGTCACATCGTATAGATCCAATGTAAAGGGAGTTTCCCTTGGGTGTGGCCTGCACCACCTTTTATCTCTTAAGAGATAAAAGGAAAGAGAAGCAAGCAGAGAGCTGGGGACCTCATACCATCGAGAAAGCAGTGCCAGGAGCAGAGCGCGTCCTTTGGACCGGGGTCGCTGTGCAGAGAAGCTCCTAGTCCAGGGGAACACCAAAGAGAAGGCCGACAGAGAGAAAAAGCCTTCCCCTGGAGTTGATGCCCTGGATTTGGACTTTTTAGCCTACTTTAACTGTGAGGAAATAAACTTCTCTTCGTTAAAACCACCCACTTGTGGTATTTCTGTTACAGCAGCACTAGATGACTAAGACATGCGCATGTATTGGTAACTTG